TGCGGGGACACAAAGAGAATGCGTATGGGGCCACGAAGAGCGCGAACGAGACGGGGGCCACGAAAGGCAGATAATGCGGGGCCACAGAAGGCAACTCTGGGGCCACTGAAGGTAGCAACTGGGCCACGTAGGACAGTGAGGGGCCACACACGGCGACAGCGGGGCCACGAAGGGCATGCACATGGGGGGCCAAAACCGGCGCGAACGAGCGGGGGCCACGAAGTGCATACGTATCTTGGGCAGAGGAGGGCAAGAACGGGGCCACTGAGGGAAGCAACAGGGCCACGAAGGGCAGCGAGGGGGCCACGAAGGGCGACAGCAGGGCCCTTGTGGCATGCATATTGGGCAACCACGGGCGCGAACGAGCGGGGGCCACGAAGGGCATACGTATATGGAGCCACGTAGGGCAGCGAGGGGGCCACGAAGGGCTGCAACGGGGCCACGTAGGGCAGCGAGGGGGCCACGAAGGGCTGCAACGGGGCCACGAAGGGCTGCAACGGGGCCACGAAGGGCAGCGAGAGGGCCACGAAGGGCTGCAGGGCCACGAAACCAAGCGAGGGGGCCACGAAGGGCTGCAACGAGGCCACGGAGGGCAGAGAGGAGGCCACGAGGGGCTGCAACGGGGCCACGAAGGGCAGCGAGGGGGCCACGAAGGGCTGCAACGGGGCCACGAAACAAAGCGAGGGGGCCACGAAGGGCTGCAACGGGGCCACGAAGGGCAGCGAAATCCCGATTCCTGAGTAATCTGTGAGGGAATCGTAAACGTGAGGGCGACTCCTGGATGCCTGGGTGTCGGGAGCGCGGCGCTTGAGTAAATTGCAAGAAAGTCCAACGCAAGGGCGCTATTCTAGAGTAAATTGCAAGCAAGTCTCCAGCGGGAGCGCGACTCCAGAGCGCCGGGAGAGCGATTCCTGAATAAATTGTCAGGAAGTCCCAAGTGAGAGCGCGATTCCTGAATAGAATGCGAGGAAGTCTCTGGCGGAAGCGGGGTTCCTGGCTAAATTGTGAGGAAGTCTCAGGCGGAAGCCGTTGCTGTTATTGTTGTTGTTGGTGTTGTTGTTGTAGTTGTTGTTGTTGTTGAACATTATTAATTCTAAAGAATAATTATTGTTGGGGCCCCTGGTGCACGGCCCCCCCGCCGCGCCTAGGCCGCAGCTACATTTTCATCATTTTTTCGCGAAAGCTTCAGAAAAGTGGATGGGGTCCAGATCCGGTTGTTTTGTTGTAATCCGTTTTCCCTTGCAAAAAACACTATAAAATGACATTTCTTGTTCTAATATAATCAAATTTCAAGAATCCCTTGCAAAAAATAAGGTAAAGTGGACATTCGCGCGCGCAAGACGAAATCCTTCCAAAAGCTTAGTGTTCGGAGCGATTTTAACATAAAAACATCAAAAAACCAATGGTTTTTCAACAAAAAAATGTCAAAATCTCATCCCGCGCGCTCTTGCGGATTCGTAGGAAACCCAACACTTTTTAAACATTTCTGTCAAACGGGCTTTTGCGAGCAACTTTTTCGAACTTCTGCGACAACGGTTGCGCACCTGCCAGGGCCATCATCCCTGTCAAATAATACCATGCGGGACACATTCGTTTTTTCTTCGCGCGCGCACGCCGTCGTCGTCGGCCGCGGGGCCCTGAATAGTAGCCACGGTCGTCCGCATGCCACGAAGTGAAGTGTCCGAACGTCATAGGGCGGGAAGCTGGGTGTGGGTGGTGGCGAAGAGTCGTATGGAAATTTGGTAGAGCTTGAACCGGCCCCCCCACAAAGTGGGGGTATTGCCCGCCTCCTATGAAAACCCTGGCACTGGTGAGAACGGAGTGTCCCCAGTCTTAAATGATTGTTGTTGTTGTTGTTGTTGTTGTTGTTGTAAACCGGGGGCCAACGACTCCCTGACCAAAAACAGGGTGCGAGCCCCGGGGAGGGCACTTCAATCGAACAAAAACTATGTGCACCGGACGGGGGGGTCAACAATAATTATTCTTCAGAAATGAGAGTTCAACAACAACTACAACAACAGCAGCAACAACAACAACAACGCAACAAGCAGAATCCTCACCACGGGTCATCACTTCAGCCACGCACCCAGGGACAATGAATGAGCGTTCGGCCCCCTCACTCTGATAATTTGGGAAACTTTGGCGCCTGCGGCGGGCTTCTCCAGAGTCTCGCAGAGTGCCGACGTCCCCATCGCCCACTCACTCTGATCCGCATCTGCGGGATGCTACGTATTCCGGACCCCCCTCTTCGACGGGGCGCCTTGATAAACCGGACCCCCTAAGCTCCAATCCAAAGAAAGCGCCCCAATAAACGGGACCCCCCCAATTACTGGGGGACGATGAATATGGGATTTCGATTAAAGTGGTTGCTGGCCTCCCTGTCTGCCAGCGATCTTCCCTGCCTGCCTGCTTGGAGCTGCCTGGAGCTGCTGGGTGGCATGGTCTGCTGACCCACATCGGGGCGACGTGAGGCTCGGGCTCGGGGGGCTCGGGTTGGCCTGACGGGGGCCATCATGAGAACGACGAGACCCAATCTGAAACTTGACGCGGGCTCCCGCTGCAGACATCCCACGAACACCGGACCATCAAACTCAAGGACGCGCTCGTCAAACAACTTCGGCAAACCCGAGCTCCGGCGTACTCGAGTCGTACGTTTCTCCGATCCTCAGAAGCCCTCATGCTCTCTATGCAGCATCCTTGGCCTTCCCCCAAGGCGCACACGGTCTCTCAGAGGGCGCGGGGGCTCCTGAGGAGCCCCGCCGCCTTCCGAGGAGGCAAGCCTCCTCTGCCTCTCCGCCCAGGGCGCGCAACCGAAGGAAGAAACAAGCCACCTCCCCCCCACACTGGAAAGACTGGGGAGGATCTACGAACCGGGACTCGGGGGCGGGGGGCGGCAGCACTCTGCAGGCCGGATAATGATGGGCAGCCCGCCCACCTTTGGCGTGGAAGGGTCGGGTCGGGTCGGTGCTTCGGCAGACTGAGTTCGCACGGCTGCGACTCGAGACAACTGGAACGATTCGTGACGCCGAACCGTGCTCGAAAGACCCTCCAGATGAGGGAGAATAGGGGGGGGACGATCAGATCACACGGCGCTCGGAACCAACGAGGTTGTGCCTGGTGGCTGCGCGGCGCCGGCGCCGTCGAGGAAGGGGCAGGTTCGCCCCACCTCTGAACAAACAGCTTTGCTGGATTATACCCAGAACATGGCTGGACCTAAACGTTATTTATCGTTTTGTTTTCGTTATGTGGTTCGTTTTGCTCTACCTGTTTTCCTGCACCTCCCTCCCAAAATGAAAAACAAAGCATAGCCAGAGTCCAGTGAAACAGCGTTTAGGTCCAGCCCCGACCCAGAACAAGGTGCCATACCTGGCAAACAAAACATAACTACTGAAACCTGCCCGGCCGGTGGAGCCACCACACGAGCAACGCCTCCGAGGATCGAGCTGTGCCCACCTCGCCAGGAGCCCGACTCCGCGTGCACCGCTTGCCTGCAGCATAGCGAGCACGGCGACACTGGAGCGGAACGCCGATGTCCGACGGTTGTGCCTGGTGGCTGTGCGGCGCCAGTGAGGAGGGGGCAGGTTCGCTCCCCCCATCTCCAGAAATTGAGCAGTGACCGACCGTCGCAGCATTCCTATAGGCCTACCGCGACATGCTTTTCGAACCTAAGAATGTTCTACTAACAAAACCGTGCTCTCAGAACATAAACCCGATATTTCAACACAAGGCAGTCCCAGCCAGAAATGGTGTAAGAGCATTTCGTGGAAACCACTAACGGTTCTTAGAGCATTGTTTGGTAGGCCTATAGGCACGCCAGGACCCTTCGCCACTGCTTGAAAAAAAGAGTTCTGGGAGTTGCTGCCCAGAACAGGGGGCCAGACCTGGCAAATACAAAAAAAAAATGCTGCGACCTGCCCAGGCAAGCGAATCGCGCCGCCTCCTCCCAGGAGCCCCGTGGCGGCGCGCACGTAAGGGAGCGATGTGGCGAGGCGGGGGGGGAGAGGCTTCTGAGAAGGCGCGGGCCTTCGTGGAAGGGCCGGGAGGCTTTTTATTCCCTTGAGAGGGCCCCTCAAGAGGCGGGGATGGCATGATGGCTTCTGAGAAGCCTCCTGCCTTCTAGGACGCGCCCCCCCTCGCCGCACCCATCGCACCGCCCCCTTTGTGCCACCAACCCAGACCCCCGACGCCATGGTTCTCGTTCGCCATGTGCACCCCCAGAGATCTCGACCCGCCACTCCCCGGGACTGGCTTGGAGGAGGAGGACGAGGAGGAGGAGGAGGAGGAGGGGGCGAGGAGAGGAGAAGGAGAAGAAGTCATCCTGACTCGATGTTTGACAGCCCCAGGGTCCGGCGGGGGCCGCCAGGGCCCGAAAAAACAGTATAACAAGCCTACGATCTACGATCGTGTGTTGGTCACCACGCGAGGAGGTATGACATCTGCTCCTCCCTCTCCTCCTCCAACTCCTCCTTCTCCTCCTCATCCTCCTCCTCATCCTCCTCCTCCTCTTCTTCTTCTTCCTCCTCCTCCTCTTCTTCCTCCTCCTCCTCCTCCTCCTCCACCTCCTCCTCCTCGTCCTCCCCCTGCCTTCCTCCTGTCTTCCTCCTCTCTTCCTCCTCTCTTCCTCCTCCTATTCTTCGTTATTAGTATTACTCGTCTTAGTCTTTGTCTTCTTATTATTACGCTTATGCTCATTATTTGTATTATTCCTCTTCTTCTTCTTCCTCCTCCTCCTCCTCCTCCTCCTCCTCCTCCCCCTCCTCCCCCTCCTCCCCCTCCTCTACCTCCTCCCCCTTCTCCCCCCCTCCCCCTCCTCCTTCTCCTCCTCCTCCTCCTCCTCCTCCGCCTCCTCCGCCTCCGCCTCCACCTCCGCCTCCGCCTCCGCCTCCGCCTCCGCCTCCGCCTCCGCCTCCGCCTCCGCCTCCGCCTCCTCCTCCTCCTCCTCCTCCTCCTGCTGCTGCTGCTGCTGCCGTCGCGGGGGGGGGGAAAAAAAGGGCGCCGGGTCAGCAGTGCACGAGCATGTACAGCGGGAGCACCCGCTCCCGCTGCAGGACGCGGGCGCACGCGGAGCCAAGCCACTCATTGAAGTGCGTCTTCGCGAGGCAGAGGACGAAGGCCGTGAGGCCGTCGCCGCCGTGGCCGAAGGACGCCAGGGGCTCCGCGGAGATCCAGATGCCGCCCTCTTTAAAGGGAAATTAGGACACACAAATAAATACACACAAATAAAAATAGTCCCCATATTTTCCCATATTTTCTGGGTTTTTGTCTTCCCCCCCAATTCCCATATTTTCCAATATTTTCCTGGGAATCGAGGATTAATTGTGTCTGTGTGTTTCTTTTCCTCCTGATTGTGGGGGAGCCAAACCCAGACATGATCGCGTCGTGAAAAAATCCAGACGGGCGTTTTTGTTGTAGTTTCGGGCCCTGGGGGCCCTCGCCGGGCCCCGGGGCCGTAAAAACAAAAACGACTCCGGATGAAAAGCCGGTCCTGGGGAAAGTGTCCGGACTGCCGGGGACGCCGTCCTGAAAACATCAGGGCGTCGCAGGTCTGGGAAGAAAGCGTTTAAGAGGGGCTCCAGGTGCCGCCCTCGTATGGAGGAACTTGGACGGGGAAAAGAGCTGCTCCTGGATGGGCAGGAGCAGTGCCCGTGACACGCCTCCGTGGGGAGTACCTCAGCGCGCTGCTGCTGAAGGGACACCGGGCGCTCGGACAGAACCGGTGCAGCACGCCGACGGGCTCGCCACGGCGGCGTGTCCTTTGATGCTTTCTCTCTCCCCTCCCCGAGCTCCGCGGAGGTCCAGGTGCCAAAAACTGCGTCAGCAAAAGAAACGATCGAAGCTCCGCGCGGCTTCCTGGGATCGGCGCATGAGCCCCCCCGGCGGCGCCGGAGGGCGCGGCCCCCCCGGCCGCGCTCTGGGAAGACCCGCGCCGCTCCAAGAAATCCGCGCGGGCCTCCGCAAGGTTGCGTGTGTGCTCGTGCCGTCGTTTGTCCTTCGGCCTCTGGCGCCGCGCCCTTGGTGCAACGCCGCGGGTCGAAGCCGTGCCGGGCGATGGACTGCAGCTTCTCGGCCAAGGAGGCCTGCTCCCCGTCGGCGCGTTTCAGCCGGGTGCCGTGCCAGACGAGATCTTCTCGGTACCGCCTCGGACAGGGTGCGCCGCCTGTTAACGGGCGAAGAAGGGCACAACATATACGTATCCGCCGTCGGGGAGGGCTGCCCCATGGCGGTCGGCAAGTCTGTAGCCCGACGTCCCACCGTGGGGGTACAAACTTTCCAGCCGCCCTGGGGGATGCGCCACTGCAGCGGTGTTCCAATAGGCCTATTACAAGACCTTGCTCTTAGAAATGGGTGCTCTCAGAACAAAGACACATGGAACCGATGCACAACAACTGGACTGTCTCAGCCTGAACCGTCCGAGTAACATGTTTTTAGAGTCTGCGCTCCCTAGGCCGTAGAACCGATGCATCAAAGCAAAACCGTATCAGGCATAAATATTGCAGTAAGATTTCAAAAGCGCTAGCCACGAGGTCTTCCTAGAAAGTGCCTTCTGAGACCTATGGGCAAACCACGACGCTTCGCCACTGCAAGAGCCTTGTTGGAGCGGTCCATCTGCGCCAGACCGTGACCAAGACCGCACACGGGAACACCAGTGCCGATCTTGGTCACCGCCCATCTTGGTCACCGTCGGTTCGTGCATCATCCTCGCGCAAAATCGGCGACGGCTGGAATGGACCCTGACCGCGATCGGCGTCGACTAGATTCTTGGTCACCGGTCAGCGTGCGTATTTCGGCGGCGAGCGAGCCTTCTCAGAAGACTCGGAAGTCCCCCGGCCTTCTGAAAAGTTGGTGGTAAGCCTTCCCCGAAGACACAGGCAAACTTTTAGAAGGCCCGAAGGCTTGTGAGAAGCCTCGCCGCGTTCTGAGAAGGCTTCTACTTCTCACTTCCCCCCTCGATCGCCGCCGATCATTCCCTCGAGCCTTCTCAACTACACGCGATTTGGTGCGCGGCACTGGGGGGCCGCCAGGGCACCAAACACACAAAAAAGCGCGCGAAACGCTGCCACCGCATCGCGCTCGGCGATCGGGGGACCCCTTTGGGCCCGCACCAAAAAGGTCCCTCCGGCGAGAGGTCGCTCTCACGTGCAGTCTGTTAGGGCGACGAAATCTATACATATCCACTGCTCCCAGGCCAGGCCCATCCTCAACCCCGCAGCGGTGTATACGCCACGCCCTCCTGGCTTGGCCAGGAGGGCGCATACACAGCTCCTGGGTTCAAGATGGGCATGGTCAGGGAGAAGTGGACATGTATAGATTTCGTCGCCCGATCTGTGATTCCCTCGAGCCTTCTTGGAACGGCCCGTCTGCGGCGTAGGCGGAGTACTGCTCCAGCAGCTGCCGGTTCCGGACCCGCTGCACCACGGCACGCCCAGGGGCCGGCCGCGCCGTCCCGGCGATCTCCACGCCGCTGGCGAGCAGGTACAGCGAGAGGACCGCCTCGGCCTC